CCTTGAAAATGGTCTTCGTTCGACGTATTTGGTCTGACGGTTTCTTCCGATATCTGTGGTTCTAATGGCATCACATTGAGCAATTGTGACTGAGTCTCTGCGTCCATATTGTTTTCGTAAAAGGTCTGATCAAGAATGTTCTGTGCTCTACCGACGACTTGGTCTGTTTCCTCTAACGTGGTAGAAACGTTTTGTATGAGGTTTGTAATTTCTATAACGGATGTGCCGGTCCTCACAAATAAATTGTCAGGTTCGACCTCGTCTACAATACGTTCGGAATCGGAATTGTTTGGGTCTGAAAATCTTACGGGTAAACTTGTCCGTGGTTGTGGGGCAGGGAGGTTTGTCTGGTTCCCCCCGAGATCCTCACCCCCTGTAACTATGGACTCTTGTTCACTCTCGGATGTCCCTTTCATTAACAACCTAAATATTCCCTCTGAATGTGCGAATAAATATTCTTACCCTTTATCAAAGCTACTTCAACTACTATAACTATAATATAGAGAATTAAAATAAAATTTTCTTACAATGCTTAGAGTAAAATAATAATTTATAAAAAAAAATAAATAACACAAATATATATTGTTTTTTTTTTTTTTTTTTTACTTACAATACCGCGAATCGGTTCATGGTGACTGCGATGTTCCGCTCGGATTGGGGCAGTAGTCCGACTCGGATTGACTGGAATGCTCGTAACGGCTCTGATTGAATTTGGAATGCTCTGGAATCGTCCTTTTCGTCTGCGCTTGATGTAACGAAGTTCGCTAGCCCCGAAACAGCTATGCGCGGGGACCACTATTAATAATGGGTTTCTCTTCAGTGATGTTCTGGATTTTCTGTCTTCGGTTGCGTCGCGTATTTAATTAAAATTTCCGTAATAGTGTACCGTCTAGCTGTTTTGTTCGCGTGTTTACAACACGGACGTCAGCTGTTACGGCGGCGGCAACCACGACGGCGGCGGCTACCACTGTTGTGGCGAAGTAACGTCACGGTCGGCTACTACGGCGGCGACGTAGTGACGTCACGTGCGGCTATATTTTTTTAACCTTGGTACGCGTCGACGGTGGCGATGAGCTCACGGCGGAGGTGCTTACAACAACGTTGGAAATATCGACACGACGCGGCGGCTCGGTCTCTCACGTATACTAACGTATACCCGACCGATTATTATTATTATTACGCGGCGGCGGCACAGACGTTTGGTTTTGCATACACGGTGAATGCGTGTGCGTGCGTAAGTGTCGTCCGGTTCGGCGGCACTATCGACACGGCGGCGACGGCGTCGCGTATATTATGATTTTTTTATTACGCACTTTATACGTACCAAATTGTCTGCGATGTTCTGAATGTTCTGAATGCTCTGTTGATCCGATGTTCTGAATGTTCTGAATGCTCTTTGAAATATTATTTGCACTTAGTAAAAAATGTTGGCTAACGCCTTAACCACACTATATTATTATTAATAAAATATCACTAGTCGAACGTGGTAGTGTATACTGTAGCGTATCCCACCGCTGCCACCAAAAATGTTATGGAACCGGGGTTCCAACACAAATAATTTAACGCACGATTAGATTGATATTAATTATATAGGTTTTATTACAGGTTTTAACATTAACTAGTTGTACATATAATATAAAAATGCTCTTCTTAAAACATACGTTAAGTATAATGCTCTGTTCTAATGCAACTCACTAACCTCCTCCCTGTGCGTCGGCCTACGGCCCCGCCGGACGCCGAATCGCCTAGTCAGCGGATTCCTGTCGACGAGCCGTCGACCAACACACTCTTCTTATACTGTGAACATAATATAATATAATACTATTCAGGGGTTCACAACAGTAGTATACCTATGTATAGTAATTTGCGCATTGCGCCCATAGTATCTAACTATCCAAGAGACCTTACATTATCATTATTTATACTGTTGTACATTGTATTGGTGTAAAAACGAATGTTTTATTGTTTATAATCAACAGTCGTTTCTAATAATATTAATAATATATGATATGTATTATAAATTATAATATTGCGTATTAGCAATTAAAACGCCTTATTTTACATTTTCTACATAACCTATACAATATTATAAATTGTTGATTAGTTTTATGCAAAGACTTTATTATATTAATATACGAAACAGTGTACTCTAAGTTCTGAGTAACTGAGACTGTTTCAAAAAAGAATATACCCCGCTTGCGCACATCGCAACTGACGAGCAACGGCAGTTCCGAGCTCAATTTCTCCCACTCTCGCGCTCTCGATCATGCATGATAGTCACCGATCGAAACTGTCGGCCAAGTTTACACCGGGTTCAAATATATTATTTACAACAGCTATCGCGTGGCGGCAAGAGTAAACACGATGTATATTATTATTTATTATAGTTTTGATAATTAGAACCAGCTGTATATAGTCAGTGCACAACGAGCTGACTGTACAGCAGTCGCGCGTTCGTTGCAAACCGGCGGTACATGGTGGGGGATGCGCGCTGGCGAACGCAACCAGTCACGAAAGTGGTATATTATTATTATCTGTTTTTTTTTTTTGTGATGTTTGAGTTTTCGGTATCCGAGATTATTAATAGATATTCGTGTTATCATGTTTTAAATGTTTACAATACATAGGTACTGGCTATAATATAGCGACTGATGGTTAATACTTTAATAGTGTTAGATTTTTTGACATTTCATCCGTTTGCATCTTGTCGTCGTGTAGACACTAGACGTGAACGCCGGAATCGCTTGAGTTGTATTGAACACCGATTTCGTTTGTGGTTGTTACTTGTTTTCCAGTTTCCGTCTATCCAGTTACCAGTATATGTAATCCAGTGTATAATATAATATAACGTAAGTATTTAATATAATTATTATTTATTACTAGTCGTTATTTTATTCATAATATTAGTCGTTTACAATCACTCGATCCGTCCAATTATAACAATAATATTAGGTATATCTTATATCTATTCAATTCATTGTTTCGGGAGAAGTGGTCGGCTTGCTTCATATTATGAATAAGTACAATAAAAGTTAGGTAAGTATGAAAAAAAATCTAGGTAGGTAGTTATGGACACTTAAATAAATCATAACTTACCACCACATGCTGATGTATCTTCAACAGTATTCAACTTTCTTACATACCTATTTATTTTTATTTTGAAGCTTATATATTTATTGTTCCATCAAACAACATAGGTAGATGCATATATTTTGAACCAAAATTAATAAACAATTTTTATGAGTTAAAATCGTTAATTATTAATTATTTTATATTAGGTAGGTAGGTACCTACCTATTCTTTTATTTGATTAAAACTAATTGTGAATAATTTATGTAGGTAGATACCTACCTATGTTATAATTATTGATAAATAGTAACCAATTAATAAGTCTCAAAGTAAATAAAAGTTGAATAGTTATAAAGATACATCAGCTAGCAAGTACACAGTGTACCTATACCGACCTATACTTACCTATAAATTATGATTTATTAAATTGCCCATAACTATAAAAAATAACAAAACAGTTCTCTTTAAAAGAAGTTTTTTTTTTGACTTGGCTATTGACTTACCTTGGGACACATTATTGTACATAACAGTCAACAAATTATTACGATAAATTAGATTTAATTTTTAATTACCTATTTACATTAAAATAATTAACAATTTCTGTAGGTATTAAAAACAATGATTAAAAGTAGTAGAACCAAAAGAAGAAAAACTAGACAAGAAATACATTTATTTGAGGAAATATATTCAAACTGTGAATTAGATGAATGTGCTTCAAAAGTATCCGAAGGACAAAACATTGAACCGTATGAAGGATAAAATTTAAACATATTCCAAAAACAAAAAATACCAGTTTCAAATTGTAATGTTGTATTCGGAAATAATGATGCCATAGTTGATACTGCCATAGTTTCTCCACCTCGTTCTCCAACAATTTCTCAAGTTTCTGATGATTCATTTGAAAACATTATTCCAGTAGCTGAGTCTTACTCAATATCAGATTTACCAACTTTGTCACCACAAATATCAACTATTAACTCATTTTTATCTAATTGGGCAGTAGAGTTTAAAATTTCTCACAATGCAGTAAATGGCTTATTGAATGGTTTAAAAAACCACCAATACAGTATTGATAATAGTCTAAAGAACTTTCCATCTGATGCACGTACATTATTGAAAATTCCATCTAATATTTCTAAAGAAATTAGTACTGTTAAACCTGGAATATATCACCATTTTGGTTTAGCTAACGGAATTCTAAAACATGCTTCATCAAATATTGGGTTAAATATTAACCAAATTCAGGTTGTCATAGGTATTGACGGATTACCATAGACTAAAAGTAATAACAGTCAGTTTTGGCCTATACTAGCGTATATTATAGAAGAAGCTACATTATTAACTAAAGTTGTTTTTCTTGTTGGCCTATACTATTGTTAACTATCTTTCTTCGTATAATAAATAAAACACCTGTTAATCTTAGAAAAAGACTGTTACCACTTTATTACACAATTCAATTACTTATTACACAAAAAAAACACACAACTTGGGTTACGGCTTCAGGACGACACATTCCATTCCAGGTCTCCAACCGAACTGATTACAGTGTACAATGTCAAGATACACCCTGGTGTCTACTGCACCCATATCTCTGGTTTGGCTTATCTTACATACATTGTACAACTATAGAATATAATATATATTGATACAACACTGTAATGTCTGTGTTAACACCCGTCCATTCTGACAATATCTATGTCCCCATAAAGTTAGCTTTTAACAAGAAAAATTTTTATATGTATAAATCATCTTTACAAAAATTTTAACAATATAAATCTAATAACATTACATAGAAAAAAAAAACAAAATACACAACTGTGATGTAATGACCCTAAGTTCACAAACAAATCACACGTGTGCCTATCACATAATAAACATTTAAGTACACAGTAATACAAATAATAATTCATATTATCTTTCTTTTTTTTTCTTCATTGCGAGTCATAGTCCTGAAGTCTTACAGGCTTCTTCCTTACTCGTCCAGACCTCCTCATATCTGTTGACTCCTCCTCGTTATGTCCAGTTATTGTTCCAGCTTCGTCTGGTATGTCTTCAGCTTCCATTGACAGTTCTCCACTTGTTGTCATCCCTCCTTCACTTTCATCTAGTTCTTCCTTCCCAATCTTCCATGATTTTAATTGAGACACATGCACTGTAGTTGCAAAGCATCGTCTGGTATCCTCTGCAAGCTGCGCTACTCGGTAGATATCATTGGATAAAACCTCTGTTACTACCAAAGGCCCACGATAACGCTCTTGCAGCTTGGTGGATTCACCTGTTGACACCGGCACCCTGGTCATGACTACCACCTCACCCACAGTGTATTTGGTTTGGTTGTGTCTATGGTTGTCATAAGCTATCTTCATACGTTGTTTGGACCTGATCATTTCTTCTCTTGCTTCTTCCCAGAGCTCAGATGGGCAGACCCACTCTTCGCTAGTAGTTGAAAGGTCTCTTAATCGACCTAACTCAAACCGTGGTCTATACCCGTGCAGCATTTCAAATGGTGTTAACTTCGTCACCTTAGACTCACTGTTGTTGATCTGTTTTTGCACATCAGACAGTAACTCGTCCCACTGTCCTTCTTCAGCTCGAGAAATTAACATGGCTAGGATGGTGCTATTTATTCGCTCTACTTGTCCGTTAGCCTGCGGTCTCCGCGTTGAGTTAAGTATGTGTGTGACTCCACGTGATTCACAGTAGTTTTCAAACCGATGAGATGTAAAACAAGAGCCTCGATCAGTGATCAACTTCCTAGGTAGTCCAAACCTGTTTATGAACTCATCCATGACATACAACACTCCTTCCGTACTGGTATCCGTTACTGGAAACAAACAGACATATTTAGTAAGATTGTCTACTAATACCAAAATGTACCTGTTCCCTTCAGTACTCGTGACAAACGGCCCTACATGGTCTGCATGAACAACTTCAAACGGCCTTCGTCCTGGTGGTATGGGATGCAGCAGACCAGGTTGTCGTCCTCTTGGTTTTTTTGTCATCAGACATTCCATACACATCCGAATGTGAAGTTTGACATAACGACGTAGTCCCACAAACCAAAAGTCTTGAGTTATTTTACATACCGTTTTGTTGACAGACAGATGCCCTCCCAAGTCATGCGCTGACACCACAATGCTCTTGCGCATGCTCCTGGGCATTAAAAACAGTAGTCGGCCTTGGTACCATCTATACAGCAAGCTTCCTTCCAGACTGTATTCACACACCAGTCCCTTTTCGGCTTTCGTTCTCTGCTCCTCAGGTTTTTGTAATATGTTGCATATCCGGCGCAACTCTTCGTCTTCATGCTGAGCCATCCGTACCTTGTCTTCTGTCTTCAATGAAACGCACACATCCAACCGACCAGCCAATACTTCGTCTAGTGTCTCGCCTTCCTGTTCAGAAACCGGATCACGCGACAGTGCGTCAACATGCAACATTTTTGTTCCCGGACGATGGTATATGTCAAAATCATACTCTTGTAGTATATCGTACCATCGCATCACTTGTGGCTTCGTACCCCTATGTCCTCTCAAGTAAACTAGCGCCTGACAATCAGTCACGACCGAGAACCTAACACCCAGCAAAAAGTGTCGCCATCTATCCACTGCCCACACTATACTCATTAGCTCCAACTTGATAGTGCGACTCCGCAGTGCCCAACTTCTTACTTATGCAATATACTATTTGTAGTGGTGACCCTTTTTCTTTGCCTTGCAGTAGCATTGCCCCGAGCCCCACGGAACTTGCATCTGTATGGACCTCGGTGACCTCTGCTTTTGGGTCAAACATACAAAATACGGGTTTATCGGCAAACACTCTCTTCATTTTATTGAATGCACTTTCTTGCATAGTTGACCACTCGAACACTACGTCCTTTTTTGTCAGCCTCGATAGAGGTTCCGCCAGGGTAGCATAATTCTGAACAAAACGTCTGAAAAATCCAGTGAGGCCCAGAAATCTGCGCACACCGTGGACATCTTTTGGGACCGGGAACTTTTCAATGGCTTCACTCTTTATTGTACCTGGACTGATCTGACCTCCACCTATGATAAATCCCAAAAACTCAATTCTCTTTGCCCCAAATGAACACTTAGATGGCTTTAGTGTAAGATTTGCGATTCTCAATTTGTCTAGGACCATTCTTACTTTCACCAGCATATCCGACCAGTTTTCAGCATCTACTACCCAGTCGTCCAAATAGTTTTTGACTACTCTGTCCTTGAGACTGCCCAGCACCTTCCTCATCAGCCGTGTGAACTCTCCGGGGGCTCCCGCCAACCCGAAAGGCATTCTTGTAAATTGGCCAGTGTCATCAGGCGTGATGAAGGCCGTCTTTTCTTGAGCAGCTTCAGACAGGGGCACTTGCAGATAACCGCTCGCTAGGTCCAACTGCGTAAAATAACGTCCCGCTCTCAGTGACTCAACTTGTTCCTGCAGATCAGGTAATGGAAAATTGTGTCTTATTATCTGCTTGTTTAGCTTCCTGTAATCCACACATAATCTGTTTTTATCGCCTTGCTTCACCAAGATCACTGGACTAGCATAAGGCGAGTCAGTCTCCACCACTACACCATGTCGTTTCCATTCCCCGATTATTTTAGCTATAGCTTCTCGATCGGCAGCTGTGGTTTTGTATGGTCGGCTAGTCACGGGTGCACTCCGTTCAGTCTCGTTAATATCCATCGTCATCATTGTCGTGCATCCCAACTCCTCAATACCCAGAGCAAAACAATCGCGATACTCGTTTATCAACGACAGCAGCTCTGTCTGCTCTTCAATGGATACATCGGCGTTAACATACTTGAAATCCTCAGTCCTTAGATCTCTACGTCTATGACCTGGCAGTGATAGCACTTGTAGTATGTCCATTTCATTATCCGTGGTTACGACCGACACATCTCCCAGTCCTATATCGTCCTTTGATTTGCACAGAATGAGCTTTCCCTCTTCCTTCTTGTGAGTAACCTCATCTAGGTCTAACCAGTCGTGACCAATAATCATGTCGTACCGCTGTACGTTATCAGGTACTACCAATACCTTGACCGGACCAGCCTCGACATTATCTACCGTAATCTTGGTGTTCACCTTCCCTACAGCACTCACTGACGGCACTGAGACACTGCCTAGTCCGTATAACAATTTCTTGGTTCTCCTTAACTCTAACTCGCATCGGGATGCCATACCGAATCTCATCAAGGTATAATAGCTTCCAGTGTCCAGTAGTACTGTCATTTCGATGCCGTTAACCTTTCCACGCTTGAGGTAGGGGTTTGTTGTTTCTTTCATCATCATCACATTATTGACAGTTGGTCGTGACGTGCAGTCACGCGCGAAATGTCCTTCAGCTCCACAAGCAAAGCACTTACTCTTTTTTTTCCACCTACAGTCTCTTGCCCAATGACCAACTTTTCGGCAGACATAACACTTGCTTTTGTCCGTTTCCGCCATTTCGTCTGTATCAGTACTAGATTTGTCATTCACTTCAGGTTTTGGTGTCTTCGTGACCCACTTTCCCGTCGAACCAGAAGCGTGACTTCCTGACTCTGAGCCACCTTTTGCGCTCACCTTTGCAGTTGGACGGCTCTTTTGCTCCTTTTCGTGCTTGGTCTCCGTACGTTTTGCGTTCATACGAGTCCAATCCAACAGGTCACTCATCAGCCCTTCTTCATCAACGTGATTCTTACCCAGCACGTACATGGCTAATTCTTTGTGGTAGATCCCTTGAATGATGTAATCACGTGTTTCGTCGAACGATAAGGACAGCCCACGGCATAACCGTGCCTTCTCTTGGAAATAAACCATGATGTGTTCATCGGAAATTTGACGTCTTTTCTGCATGGCTTCCCATTTATCAGCTGTTCATAGTTGTCGAACAAATACGCTTCGAAATTTTTGTACAAAGTCGTCCCAATCCTTAAAATCGCGTCCGATGAACCAGCTGCGCGCGGCTCCCGTAATATACGATCGTACAAATTGCATACGAAATGCCAAAGGCCAACAATTCAAATTCGCCATACCTTCAACCGTCTGTATCCAGTCATCCGCTTCGTGCACTGGCTCACAACCATCGAAAACCTTGATTGATTTATTCAAATCCGGCAGCACTCTATATTCGCAAACGTCCGAACGCGGCGTGTTGACGACCGCGGTGGTTGGCGGACCTTGGCTCCCATCGCGTCCCGAAACAACTTCTAATTCTAACTGTTTAATCTTCTTTTGTAATTCAGCGACCGTTTTATACAGCTCGATGTAAGTTGGGGCTTGTAAATCACCGCTCGTCGCCATCTTATAATCACCACCTCCGTTAACGTGGTCGTGAAAACAATAACAAACGTTATCACCGTCACCAATCAACAACCCGTTATCAGTGTTATCACGTGAACACTAACAACCGTTACCGCAGTAATCAACGCGGTGCTCGACGATTTTCACGGCTCGTCAAATTGTTCCCATCGACACTGGTTCCACTAACCTTACTTTTCCGGCAACCCACGTTTTGTTCCAATTGTGTAAACCACAACCGTTTTACTTCTCGTTTCGACTTTCTGCAATTCCCTCGCGTTACTCTCTTCACACCCTTCCGCTGGTGAGTAATCGCGACCACGAAACGCAGATTCCGAAAACCACGAGTCTTCACCCGTTACCACCACGCCACGCCTTCGCTCACGATCCGCTTTGTGAACTGGGGCCAATACTTGTTTGTATCCCACTTCTGATTCTTGTTAACTATCTTTCTTCGTATAATAAATAAAACACCTGTTAATCTTAGGAAAAGACTGTTACCACTTTATTACACAATTCAATTACTTATTACACAAAAAAAAACACACAACTTTGGTTACGGCTTCAGGACGACACATTCCATTCCAGGTCTCCAACCGAACTGATTACAGTGTACAATGTCAAGATACACCCTGGTGTCTACTGCACCCATATCTCTAGTGGGGCTTATCTTACATACATTGTACAACCATAGAATATAATATATATTGATACAACACTGCAATGTCTGTGTTAACACTATGGAAAAGAGAAACCACTCGATAGTAATGACTATATGTCAGATTTTGTGAAAGAAACTAAAGATCTTACCTTACATGGGATTTTAATTAATAATACTAGAATTAGAGTTTCAATTCGGGTTTTCTACTGTGATGTGCCGGCAAAGTCTTTCATTTTAAAAATTAAAGGTCATAGTGGGTTTTCATCATGCACAAGATGTGCCATCGAAGGTGAATATTTGCACAATAGAGTTTGCTTTCCGTACACTGGAATTCAAGCAACTATGAGAAATCACCAGAATTACATTAATATTACAGATGAAGAATATCATGTTGGCAGTGTAACATCAAATCTTGTAGAATTACCAAATTTTGATTCCGTTTTTTCTCTCTCACTTGATTATATGCATCTAGTTTGTTTGGGTGTAATGAAAAAATTATTGATGCTGTGGCTAAGCAAAGGTCCAGTTAGTGTTCGGATACGGTCAGCAAAAATGAATGAGTTATCTTGACATTTATTAAATCTTAATGTCTGTGTTACTTCTGATTTTGTTAGAAAAAGCAGAACTTTACAAGAGTTAAGTCCATGGAAAGCGACAGAATTCCGTTTTTTTTTTGTTATATACTGGACCAATTGTATTAAAGAAAATCATAGGAAAAGAGTGTTATACCAATTTTATGACGTTGAATATTGCAATGATAATTATTTTGAGTCCAGATTGCAGTTATCTCATTAATTATGCTCGTGAACTATTAAAATACTTCGTAATGAGTTTTCAAAATATTTATGGTGCACAATTTGTGTCCCATAATGTTCATGGATTACTACATCTTTGTGATGATTATGAACACTATGGCCCACTTCATAACGGTTCAACATTTATGTTTGAAAATTATATGAAAGAACTAAAGTCATTTGTAAGAAAACACGATAAGCCATTACAACAGGTTATAAATAGATACAATGAAAAATGCTATGCTAGTACCACAAATTCAAGTAAAAATAATGAAGAATTTATTCTGAAACCTTCATTGCAACATATGCATAGTAACGGCCCATTACTTGAGAATATAACTGGTCCACAATATTTCACTTTATTATATAAAAATATGAAAATACAAATAAAAAAAGAAAAAGATTCTTTTATTCTCACTAAAAATAATGAAGTTGTTAAATGTTTAAACTTTTGTCTAAGAGGTGAAGAAATTTTAATATTGGGTTGTATATTTAAAAATATAAAACCATTATATGAAGACCCTATAGACTCAAGAGTACTGTATATTTATGAAGTTAAAAATCTTTCTAAAACTATTCAGTGCTGGAAAATAATAGATTTGAAAAAAAAAATGATTGTATTTAATCATAATGATAAATATATAGCGATGCCTATTATTCATTCTGAGTTTTAAATCTATGCTATTAAATTTTATCCTGTAAATATTATGTAGGTATTTAAATATAATTATATCAAAAAATAAATTAAGTCTAAATTATAAGTAGAGCATATTATTAAATAGGTTCTTAAGTTTGTACCTCGGTTTGTACATAGTAAACAATAGAAATCAATTTTAATCCCAGGTAATAATAACCACGACTATACTGATAAATAAATAAATAGTTTTACTAAATTGTAATTTTCTTTTAGATGGACAAACAAAGTGGCTGGATTATAGTTATATTTGACAATGACAATAGTGTGGAAGCAGTGCCAGATATATGGTTAAAAAAAATAATTGTGCGTGGCCAGTTAAATCCAAACAAATTAAAAAATATATCGAAAGACATATAAAGCCTAATAATAATGATTTCACTTTTTTCAATGATAGAAAATTGGGGAACAAAGTATACAGTGAGTAGCATTCTATATTAAAAATGTTATTTTAAATTTATAATTTTATAATTATCATTTTTTTAAATGTTTTGAAATATATTTCATGTTCTTTGGCTGAAGCTAGATCTAAGCTACCCAAAGCAATGCATAAGTCAGATATTTCTAGTACTGAAGATGAATATTATAGTAGATTAACGAAGAAACGAAATACCAGTTTATCTCCCAATATGGGCAATTTAAAAAAAACTAAAAGCAGCATAAAAATAAAATCAAATACTTCAATAAATAATAGTTGCCCTCCTCGTTATATACCTGAAGGTATAGTAGTTGGTAATAACTTTTGCTATCTATTAATTTATTTTTAATTTATACATGATATTTATTTATTTACTTAAAATTCTAAAGGCAAAAAGATCTCTAAAAATTGTGTGATCAGTGACTCAGATTCAAACCACGATGATGCAGCCTCTGATATTGACCTGACATGGTTCAATAAAGTTAATGGGAAAACTGACTTTCAACATACAGGTAAATTAAATATTATTATAAAAGATTTTATCATAATGTACCTATGTTATTTCACCACTTAATAATTGATATAGTATTTAAACGCGTTTCAAATAATATATACATATAATACCTATTGTCCTAATACTATGATGAGGTTTATTTTAATTTTCAAATATATATTTTGCTGTCGGTATTTACATAGATCATTAAACTATTATGATATGGAACTATTTATTTATTTTAGGTGATAATGATGATAGTATTATTCAAATTACACCATTGAAATCATTGAAAAATTCAGACCGGGTTTTATATTCACCTAGTGGGAAATGGACTGTAACACCAGTTGACACAGATAAACAAGTTATTGACAAACCAATATCTACAAATATATCCCAAGGAGACGTTAAATCAAATAAATATATTTCATCCCCGATTACCAATTTGAATACATATAATAGCAGTGCTGTTAAAAGACAATTAATTTTTAAGGAAAACAGTATAGAAAATGCAGGTATCTATGTTGTTTACTTTTGAATACTGTTGTATTTAATTTTTTAAATTTTGTATAATTATATTTTATTTGTAAGGTCACGGTAATCAATCAACAATTGAAAATATAGCAGCATCTCTAAAAGGTATATATTATGTATAATATGTAATAATTATTGAATATTGTATAAATTTAAATCCTTACGAGTCTAAACAGTACAATTATAATATTATGATGCTTAGATATAATAGGAATCTCTAATACATATAATATATGCGTATAATAATTCTCCTTTCCAATGTTATGCGTTATGCAATTTGTTATTAACTAATTTAGAATTAAATTAATACAGAATAATGTCATTAGTTCAAAGAATATAAATTTATCATAATAGGTATATATGTCCTGGATTTTATTTATACCTTTTTAATAAATTTGTATAACTTGATCTTATGTTGATTTTTTTTTTGTATAACTATTATTATTAATATTTAAAAGTGACTATGAGTATTGACGTATTTAGTACATTTTTAAGGTAACTGGTTTTTTCAAATGATTATTTCCATGTGTTATGAATAAAACATTATTCTCTATTAAGCTACTGAAATAATGTTGAAATATATTTCTCCATATTATTATCATTGTTTTACAAATAATTAATGCCCTAAAACTTAATTTTTAGATTTTCAAAGAGTCTTTTTAACATCTCACGCCTATATAAAACATGAAATGCAATGTTTGACGTTCTTGTGCCACACTACCAATGATAATATTGAAAAACTTATGAAAGAAAAAATGACAGTTATTCATGTAGATGATAATCATCTAAATATGGATATATTATTTCCAATAAAAGATGAAGACGAATTGCAAGCATTTGAAGAAAAATCAAAAGATTTTGATTTTAGAACATCTTTGGTAATTATATGTCATATATTAATATGAAACAACTTGATAAATTAATTATTAAATTTTATTATTTTTAGGTGGGTAAAATTGCATTACTAGTAGGTAATAAAGATCTTGGGAATAGTATAAGGAGAATTATGGCAAGCATGTTTGATGATCAATTCCTATCAAACTATTCACTGTATGGCTTCAAAAAGAAAAAATCATTTACAAGTTTATCAAGTTATCGTATGATAATAGGTAAGAAATATATTACATTTATACATATATTGTATACTTTGTTAACCGAAATATGACATATAATATTTTATTAAAGTATTATTGACTACAAATTTAATAATTTAGGAAAATTAATTTAATTAAACTTGTTTTAAAATTATTTCATGTTATTTATAACTAACTTTGATAAATAATTCTTTTTAACCTGTGTTTAATAATATTATATTTAAAAATGTTATTCTTTGATGAAATATAAATATATATTTATTTTAATAATATATTTCAGATGCATTGAGAAAACATCTTAAATACAAATATAATACAGAGAAGGAGATAGATATTCCTTTAGGAACATGGCTTGCTCACGCCCCATTCAGGATAAAAACAAAAAAACAATCCGAGGAAGAGGAACAAAATAATTATAGAATTGCTTAATAAGATTTATTAGAAATATTTTAAATATTATTAGTATTTATATTATATATGCTTAAATATAATTTTTAGTAGCAAGACAGCTAACATAATAAAAGGAACTTATAATTTTTTTTGTTTATTTAATGCTATATGTTAATAATGTTATAAATAAATTATTACCCAAGTATGAGTAACATTATAACTTAAATTTATATGTAATAAAAAGGAAGAATTTTTTATTTTAATATGCATATTTACTACATACTTCTATGCCTACTTATTATATTTACAAAAATGAAAATCTACAACCAAAATAAATATTAGTTGAATCATAGTATATAATACTAGCTGTTATGGGTAGGTACCTATAATATTATATCCTAAGCTTTTAAATTTTTCTATTCAGTGTAAAATGTATACTATGTGTTACCAACATAGGCTGAAAGAAATTATGCATCTAAGTGAATTGAATTATTTTATGCTGATGATATACAATTTATGATGCAAATATTTTGGTAAAGTCAATTCTAATAATGAAATATTATTGCAATTTTGCCAAAATATTTTTTGAAAATTTTAATAATTATTATAATATTGAAGTAAAATTATAGTAACAATCAAGTAAATAATCTTATACTATTTTAAAAGTCATTTAGAAATAATATAATTTTTGTGGCCAAAAAATCATAACAGAATGTTATAGGAACATAATAATAATAATTAATAATTTTTTTGTTAACATCTGGAAATGTTTTAAGAATTTTATTATTTTTTTTTTAATATTATTTACTTATTAAATTAACATTATTATGCTATCTGGGTGTTACATGCTTATCACACACATTGCATGGAATTTCCAAAGAAATAAGAAACAATTTCGCAGATGTTGATGCATTAATTAATAACGTGATATTATATTTTTTAAAGCGACATCGTGAATTCAAATATTAATACAATGGCACAAAATTTCCCACTACCTCCTAAACCTGTATTAACGCGTTGGGGAACTTGGTTAAATGCTTCCATGTTATTTTGAAGTACAATTATTCTATCGACTCTGGTCGATCTTATTATTTAATAGTTTGTAAATAAATTTTAAATTCAGTAGTTTAAATCCTACTTCAACAAAACATAA